CCCCAAAACCCCAAAACCCCAAAACCCCAAAACCCCTAAAAGCCTTCTAAGTGATGAAACTCTATAATTTATTAATTAAATGGAAGATCTTAATTCCAATGATCTCAAGAGGAAACCTCCTAAGACTAACAAAGAAAGATCAAGACAGCATAGAATCAGAAAGAAGAAGTTTATAGGTAAAAGTTGTAGATTGTTTCTCTGTATCTAAATTCATTAAAAAAATCTTATAAAGGAAGATTCAAAGAGCCATGCATCATCTTGCAAAAACATCTATTCTATATCTAAATTGTATAAATAATTAGATAGCCTTGATTTTAAAGAGGCTCAGAACCCGGATAAGACAATTCTTGGCTTATATTTATTTTTGAGGTAAATGTAGTTTGCTCCTTTCCAGACTTTCAAGGCCATTCTCTCATAAATTTTTGTCCTTACATTTAAATCAAGATAAAGTTCTATTTTTTACAAGTTTGAGCTTGACATAAAAATTAAATTGGTAATGATTACATTTATAGAAGAAATACAGCAAGAATGTAAAGATCTAAGAGCAAAAGTTAAGACTCTTGAGGAAGAAAACAAGCACTTGAAAGAAGCTCTCACAGAAACTAAAGTTTCAAAGTTAAAATATTCAAAATGAAGGCAAGAGAAAAAGCAGTTTGACCACTCTCTTCATGAGTATGAAGACTATCTCTACAATAACTTGGGAAATAAGGTATTAGAGGACCCAGACCAAGTCCGATATAGCACCATAGAGCATGCAGTCGAACATGTCTATGAGTTCAGGTGAGATATATGGTTAAATGAATAGCGACGATAGGATTGATTATATAAAATCCTTATTCAACAGTAAGCTAAGAGTCAACATTTTAGAGATTTTAAATAACATGATTTCTCATGGAACCAAATGCTTCTCTGTATGCCATAATGTTGTTCCAATCAAATAAGTGGGATGTAAACATTGGACTAAAGAAAAGAGGTAGAAAATATTTTGATAAAGCTTCTGAAACAGACATAATCCAAAATGCGTTTAAAAACATCGCCTTCACAGAGCAAGCCAAACAAACATTCACCACCTTCAATAAAATCATGACCTCCCAGAACCGAAAGGCTAAGAAAATGTAATCTCTCCTTCATCTTCAGTGCCCAAAACCTAATCAAACTCCGCAACAACCTTCTAAACCTCTACCAAGACATGAAGGCCACAGTAGTTACTTCTTCCCAATCAAACTGGTACAAAAAGCAAGACATGTATAACCACTTTCAGCTAATCCAACGTATCAGCAGCACTGGGCTTATAACGAACCACAAAGTTTATGATATCCCAAAGAAGGAGCACAAAGAGGAAAAGTATCAAGATGGAGAGCTTACTGAATAACTAACTTTATTGTTTCAATCATCTTGAGATCTCTGGGGTTTTGGGGTTTTGGGGTTTTGGGGTTTTGGGG